CTTTGAGGGTGCGTTAAAAGTCATACTGTGGTCTTATTCCCAAGGCATATGACTGTGACCATGCAAATTTTCAGATATTTTTACTGTAACACTTTTAAGTTATGGACCCATACATTTGGCAGATATGACAATACGATAACAGGAGAAATTGCATCATTGGCCCAATTATAACACATGATCAAGATACATGATCTCTTTTGTTTTCTGCTATTAAATCAGGATTCACATTCAGTTCTCTGTTTTCTCCTCATTCATTCTGATGATGTCTGAGATCTTCTGTAAATTGGCACATTAAGCACATTTCGTTGTGTGTCAGCAGACTGAGACAAACTACAGGATCATCACTTTATGTGGATCTTTCTGCAGTCATTTATGTCCTTCTTACAGCTTTTCTCCATCATCTTCAAGTAAGCCAGCATGCTACTGCTAATCTTTGACTGTCGTCTTAAAGGGGTCATAGGATGCCCATTTTCCACAAGTTGATATGATTCTTTGGGGTCTTAATGAAAAGTCTGTAAAAAAAACCACTGGGTGGATTTTTATCATTATAGGGTGGCTGTGTACACACACTGCCAACACACATTTCAGTTCAAACAACTTGTAAAAGTGCATGTAGCATCCTATGACCCCTTTAAAGCCGACCACTTCCACAGTATATGCAGATTCATCTCAAGGCACTGCACTTCATCCCAATTTAATACTGAACAAATCAACCGTAAACCTTCCACAGTGATAGAAGTAAAACAACTCAGACCTTCGTGAGAACAGCTACTGAAGCCTATGCTGCAAACACCACAGTCTCAGTGGGAATGAGGGAATATACAGGTTATGGGTCTGAAAGCTAGATAAAGGCATTTATATACACATCATTTTTTTCTGGAATTTGAGTCCTTTACACAACATTCAGAAAGATAAACCAAGATATCCCAAAGCACTCCTGTCAACTGACAAAACCATGCCGTGTGAACTTCATGGCCACGTCCGAAAACGTGTTTCGATTTGGCAGGCGAAATGTTGCTTCTCCCTCTCCAGCTATTCCATGCTAAAGAAATGAGGTCAGATGTTTTGGACAGGGTCATGTTCGATTGGTTTGAGAGCAGCACCTTCAACTAAAACAGTGTGCAAATATTTTCCTCTGGCTCCTACAGCACCTGGAGCTCAGCGACCTGACTAAATTCCTCCCCTTTCCCTGCCTTCCCCATCAGCTCTCAGAGTCAGGTGACCAGCTGCGGCTCCCAGGATTGGCTGGCCACCTGGGGGCGGCACTGTGCGACGAGTGGCGGGTCTGAAGGAGGCTGGCTATCCAGACACAAGCCGCTGATCATGTGCTGCAGCGCTGGACCTCTGGGCTTCCATTTCTACAGAGGGACGGAGAAAAAAAGTTAATAAGCAGTAACACATTCATATGCTGTAGACATACATCCCACAAATAAAGCACAGAATAGTGCATAAGAATCGCTCTTCTTCTTCTTGTTCCTGAAATTATCAGAGTGAAAGAAAACAGAAGTCATCTAAAGGTCAAACTAAAAATGATGTTTCATTTATTTTGCATGTTGTTTGCAATTTTTCCAACCCTGTTAACAGAATTCGAGGCATGTCGGAATAGAGTTTATAGAGTGAATTTGGTATTTTCAATTAGGGTTTTTATCATTAACCAAAACTAAAACAAACAAAACAATTCCCTTACTTGAAACAAAAATAAACAATAAGAAAAAAAAAACAAAAAAACTCAGACTTATTTTATTTCAAATAGCTGCTGAAGCATGTCTCATTTTCATTTAGTGTAGACTGAAGTACTAAATTATAAACTAAGACTAACAAAATAAAAATTAATAATACTGCATACACATTTTTAAAGAAAAACGAAAACTAATAAAAATGACAAAAACACAACAAAATTACTAAAACTTCAACTAAAATTAAAACGAAAACAAAATATTAAAATAAATTCAAAATATTAACAAAAACTAGAATAGTGTATCAATGATAGTAAAATATCAGTTTTCAATGTTAGACAAATATCAAAGCGAGCTAGTGTGAGACCAAATGTTGATCATGCGTATTGATAAATCTATTTTTCACAAATTCACAAAAAACATGGTTGAAAATTGTTTGTGAAAATCCATACACATAATATTTACAAAACTATTTGTAGCCCAAGAATGGAAGAATTGCTTATAATGTCTTATAATTGAAGTATTTAATACAATGGTTGAAAATTGTTTGTGAAAATCCATACACAATATTTACAAAACTATTTGTAGCCCAAGAATGGAAGAATTGCTTATAATGTCTTATAATTGAAGTATTTAATACATCTGCTTTGTGTCATATGTGGATTTTCTATATGCATGGAGTAACTTGCATAACCACATTTATCACCTGTTACAATCAACAACTATCTCCTTCACTCTTAGAACATTTTTACACAAAACAGGAATAAGAATGGAAGAATAACAGTTTCATTCCGAACACTGACAAATGCTGCAAAAAATAGAATGACTGTAAAATGTCAAATTTAAAGAAACATACAGAGAAACAACATGAAACACATCTGTCTAACAATGCTGCAAAGCAGCCTTACAATGAAATGAAAGCAGCAGAATGTTGTAGCCAAGGGCATGTCTCATTGCGTGTGACTGCTTTAGAGTGAGGTCAATGAGTCTGAATTCAGAAGGCTTGATATATACTGTAATAATGTGTGTGTGTGTTTGCTATAAATATATATATATGTATATATACAGTATCTCACAGAAGTGAGTACACCCCTCACATTTTTGTAAATATTTTATTATATCTTTTCATGTGACAACACTGAAGAAATGACACTTTGCTACAATGTAATGTGAGGGGTGTACTCACTTCTGTGAGATACTATATATATATATATGGAATCGGATCTGATTGTGAGGGATGTTCTGACTTCAGGAGATAATCACAAATGAGCCGAGCATGAATGAGTGGACAGGAGCGGAGGTCAGACTGATGAAAAATGGAAAGGAAAAAAGAAAAAAAGATAAAAGCCAGTCCAGCTAAGCCAACTAAGATTGTGAGTGGAACCATATGCAGTGGGCTTATGTGAAGATATGTGTTTGTGCCTGTAAGCCTGTCTGCTGCGTTTCAGATCGACAACACTCAACATTCGACCTGAAATGGCAACAGAATATCACTTTATGAAACACTTCAATTTACATAACTTCCAAAAAACTCAGAATAGAGCTTAATAGTCTTTTGAAAGCAGCAGACATCAAGTAGGTCATCAGATTACACATACACCCACCTGTCTGGACTCTTTGATGTTGCAGGGCTCCAGTCTGACCTTTGACCCTGCAGTGAAAGCTGTGATGGCCAGACATAGGTCATGCTGACGGATCTGTGGTTCAATCAGGGTCCACTTCTGAGAAAACAGGACAGACAAATGATTGAGTGAGTAATGCAGGTGCAGAGAGCTGCTGGATATATGTAGCAAATCACAATTTGTACAGCAATCACACTCAAAGTAACTAAATACTTGGCTTTATTTATTTATTTTGCATTTTTAGTTGAGTTTATTTGGTGTGAAGGAGTTGATAACATTTATTTACTGTACTTCTCATTCCAAAAAAACTCCATTTCATTCCAAATTAAATTATCTCATCTTCTACTCCTGCTGCATTATATTACATTTGTACAGGTATATTAACCTTTAATGGCCAAAAATAAAATAAATAAATAAAATGCAAATGTGAAAATAATGTGAATGTGGAACATGTTGCAATTACAGTGCAAATTTTGCATGTATCAATGAGACAATTGTGTAATTGTGTAATTATGTATGTCTGATGACATATCTGTAATTTCTAAAATTAAAACAAAATAAAATATAAAATAACAGTAAATTATGCATAATTATATGCAACTAACCCTAAACCAAACCCTAATATTAACTCTAATCGTATAGTAAGTACATGTTGTTAACTAATATTACTGTGTTTAAATATATAATCAATACTGTAACAAAGTCACCTTACTATAAAGTGTAACTCAAAACAAAACGTTTTTTAATGGCCAAAAATATTTGAAAAATAAAAAAACAATGGAACAAGGAGCGTGTTGTAATTATAATGCACATTATACATGTATAAATAAGGCAATTATGTAATAATTTAAATAATATAAATTATGTAATAACTGAAACATTTTATATGCAACGTTTTTTAATGGCCAAAAATATTTGAAAAATAAAAAAACAATGGAACAAGGAGCATGTTGTAATTATAATGCACATTATACATGTATAAATAAGGCAATTATGTAATCATTTAAATAATATAAATTATGTAATAACTGAAACATTTTATATGCATATTGGCATGGTAACTGTATAAAGTCACAAAACAAAATAAAACAAAACAACCTTTAATGGCCAAAAATATATGAAAAAATTCTAACTTGAAAATAATGTGAACAAACAAAACAACGATGGCCAAAAATGTATGAAAAAATGCAAACTTGAAAATAATGCAAACAAAACAAAACAAACAAAAAACAATGACGGCCAAAAATAAAAAATGAAAACTTGCAAAATATATATGCAAACTTTGAAAAACTGTGAAAAAGTGAAAAGATAACCTATTTTGAAAACAAAAATTACTATCGATGCCACGCTACTACTGTAGTTTATTTTCTGAAGTCATGCTACTGTCAGTCAGTTATCACACACTCTGTTAGAGCGTCACCTGTGAGGCAGGGATGTTCGGTGTGGTCTTACACTCAGCCAAACCCAGACTGTCTGTGCCGTGACTCTCCAGACACAAGCCACCCTGCTTCAGGAGACTGTACACCGCTTCCTGCTCTGGGATTCTGACAAACACAAGCAATGAAGACAAAACACGTTCAGAACGGACTTGAGAGCGTCCAGAGGTGCGTCCCAAATCGCGTACTTATGCACTATTCTATGGCGTTTTGTAGTATAAATAGTGTGAGTAGTGTGTTCACACTGAACATTCCAAAAAGAAAAAGTGCACTTTAAATACCCGGATGATGCATTTAAATAACTGAAAAAACTAAGTGTGGAATGTTGAAGACTTCATTCACTCAACTGTCGCAACTTTAATTACGTAGTGAAGGGGGAGGGGCTATCAGACTCCGTTTATGAATGACAAAATAACCTTATATAATTCATACACTACATGGTTGAGTACATAGTGCATAAGTACATAGTGTATAAGTGCATAGTGTATAGTGTGTCATTTGGGACGCAGCTCAGGTTTGTCTGGCAGTCCATCAGAGCCCAGACACAGTCCAGTGAACGTGACTCACTTGAGTTCAGGATACACATTCTCAAGATACCAGCGGAAAGAGTTACAGTTCAACTTCCGTCTTAATGCAAGCCGATCTGCAATACTGTACAGAGAGACAGAGAGAGGTAAAGGAATAGTTCACCCAAAAATGAAAGAAAGAAACGTTTAGTAGAGTGTTCATTGAGTTTTTTCCATATAATGACAGCAGACAGTGACCAGAGGCCGTCAAGCTCCAAAAACCATAGAAGTAGTGCATAGGCCATACATTTTGCGCACTGTATTGATCATGAAATATTGTATGAGAACAGTATATATATATATAGGCCTAAATTTAAGATAGATGTATCTGAATTGCATATAAAATGTCCATCCATTTGGAATACACAGTTTTAACATGAACAAAATAATAAACATGATTCAAACAATAGAATATGTGATGCATATTTTTCAGTCATAAATGAACGATTTCTGCACTCCAAAAATCAAGGCATAGTTTATTATCAATTATGGCATCTATTTGGTTTCGTTTAAATAATCATATGTTCAAAATGCATTTATTCAAATCACTTAGAATCTGCATAAATATGTTCAACGAGAAAACAATGATATTTATTCAGATAAAATATATAAACACGGTTTAAATATGACTAGTTGTGGACCAAGCAATATTCATTTAGACTGAAACAAAGTGGATTTATTGATGATAATCATAATAACCCTGGTTATTGTGTATTTAAAACACATTTAGTTTATTAGTATTATCATAGAAATCTGACCTGCTTTATTGATTTATTACTGACTTATTGATTTATTATCAGTTTAAAACCGTGTAATCTAAATATATGGAAATTTGATATGCAATTCAAATACACAAATCTTAAATTTAGGCCTAAATAATGTTTTGAGTAAATATCTTGTTATTTGCTGTTTGATTTCAAACCTAGCCTGATGCTTCTTGACAAGCCGAATATATTGAATATATACTTGAAGTATTTTTATGAAGCTTGATAGTCTGTTTCAGTGTATGCAGCTGCGTGAACATTCTTCTAAACATCTCCTTTTGTGCTCCATTGAAGAAAGAAAGTGATGTATTGTAGGTCTGGACTGACACGAGGGCCAGTAAACAACACACATTTTATTTTAGATGTAACTATTTCCTTAGAATTAGAGGTAAACTTAGTCAATCCTGAAAAAAGGCATTCCACCAAGTCACTATAACCAGATCTACATAAGGTTTTAGAGACGTCTGACCTCCCAAAGGCCTTGCCCTGCGCTGATGGTCTTGCGGCGTAGTAATACTGTTTATACTCATCCATCCAGACCTCAGCAGCTCTCCGCGTGTTCCTACAACACACACAGAAAACATAACAGCCATTCATTCATACACTGCAATGCAAAACATATGATTACAAGCTACATAAAGGCCAATCTACTTGATGTAGGTGAGTGCGTTGCCCTCTGGGAAGTCATAAGGATGGCGTTTCCTGAAGACGTGGCCCACGCGACTGCAGGGCAGAATCTCAAGACTGCCGCCACACATCCACACTCTGAACGACAGCTCTACAGCATCACAATGGAGGAGAATGGGAGAGAAATAGAAAGAACTGCATTTATGCGTGGAAGTAAACACAGAGACATTAAAAATACTGTTACAACTGCCCTGAAATAGGAAAAACACCGCGATGAAAAAAAACTACAGAGGCTTCCCAATACATATTTTTTTCCTAAGCAGCCACAACTGCGAGAAACAGGACATTTTGTCGTTTCTGTGGCATCACACACTGAAATTTCATTTGTCCAAAATTCCTCTCCTTGTAGCTGCAGGTTGAGGATCACATACATTCTGATGGACCAGACTGTGATGAAGCGTTTCCACTATGTGTTTGATCACCCTGGCATTAATGCTGCTCCATGAGTGTTTCTAACACAACGGCTGAGGGAGTGCTATGGTCTCACAATGGTCTTTTTTCCTCTTTTGGAAAATCACACTATTGTGGATTCTTCTTCTTTTTTTTTTTTTTTTGCTATTGGAGAAAATTAGAATGCAAAAATGACATTTGTTGTGTCATGTCGTAGTTTTACTTTCATCGTGGGCAGACAAATTGCTTGTGGAAAACTGAGCCTGATTAAGACATATGGGACACAGGAATAGTAACAAAAATATACAAAAAATGTAGAAAAGTATAATACTAAAGCAATTTCCAACAAGACTCTGATTTAACCAGTAGAGGGCTCTAAACACAGCCTAATGCGCACACACACATACACAGTTTAATTTTAGTGAAATCTACTTATAGGTTTTAATAATTCCCTAATATAATTCATATTTTCCCTTACGAAAAAGAAGTTTATTCAAGTGTGCTATTAGTATACTTCTTTTAAATAAAAAAATAGGAAAGTATACTTTTAGTCTACTTTTTATGCACTTCTCAGAAATGGGCTTTATGTACTTCTCAGAAATATACTTAAAATGACATTTAAGTATACTTAACTTATAGCCTACTTAGAAAAAGTCTAAATATATTTGAGCTATACTTGTGTTCCTAGAATATGTTCAGATATTTATATAACAAAATATATATACAAATTTATACCTAAATAGGGACATAGTATACTTAAAGTATGATGTAAAGTTCACGTAAAGAACTTACGAGTATACTTGCAGTATAAAACTACTAAACTAGTAGTTTACTAAGACTATACTTCAAAGTGTACTAAAAATGCTACTACAAGTATTTAATTAGAAAACTATCAGTATTCATATGTTCACTTTTAGTATAGTTGCAGTACAAGCTAAAAATATTGTTGTAAACTAGTTGTGTACTTAAAGTTTACTACTGTTATACTTAAAGTATACTTAAAAGTATACTTTTATATACTAGAAAGTGGGCCAATTTAGTCCCAAGGAGTATTGAAATGGTACACTTACAAGTATACTACTAGTACACTGATATTTGTATACTTGCGACATAAAGTATACTTAATAAAATAAACTTGAAGTATACTACTTTTTGGTAAGGGTTGTTAAATATAACTTTAATAGTAATTAATATTAATATTGAATTAATGTTTATTAAATATATTTTTGTAATATTTTGTTTTCATTTCAATTAAATTTAATTAAACTTTAGTTAAAGTGATTTTGTAATGTGTTTTATCATGTTTATTATTTTCTAAATGCTTTATATCGTTTTTTATACATTTTTATTTAAATTTTAGTTTTATTTTTGTTTTGTTAAACTAAAAAATGAAACCAATAAAAATGTTGCCTTGGCAACTAGCTAAATAGAATAAGTTAAACTTTATATTTTGTTTTGTTTTAGTTAACATTTACTTTATTTCAAATAACAAAAATGTTTTTTTTAATGGTTTTAGATTTAGTTTTAGGTGACTATATTAACCCTGAGGTTTGTTTGAATATATTAGTAAGGATACTTAAACCACACACTTTTCTTTATTCAGCTCTAGCAGTGCTATATGATCTCTGACGCTCGTCTTGCTAAACTGTTCACTGGATGTTTGACACTTGAACACATTCACAGCAGAGGAGTAAAATCATACATCTGAACATCACTTACCAAAGTTCTCACCACCCCAGATGTCCATGTGAGTGTCATACTGGCCCAGGTGATTAAACCAGCCTTTATCCATGACAAAGATTCCTCCAGCAATTACAGGAGTCCTGCAACAACAGTGGTTGGTATGGACATGTTATTATGGGGTCCAAACATCTGAGACCACTACAGTAATAAAATGCTTCTAGTTTTCTAAAAGCTTCTGGTTGTTTGAATTTGTAGGTCTTTTGTTACAAAATTGCTTCCAATTGACTAGGGACCTGGAATTTGAAATGTGTTGTTAAAGGGATAGTCCACCCAAGAATGAAAATGTGATGTTTATCTGCTTACCCCCAGGGCATCCAAGATGTAGGTGACTTTGTTTCTTCAGTAGAACACATATGGTGATTTTTAACTTTAACCGTTGCAGTCTTTCAGTCGTATAATGCATGGCAATGGTAACAAAATCTAGGAGAGTAAAAGAAACATGCACAGATAAATCCAAATTAAACCCTGTGGCTCGTGACAACACATTGATGTCCTAAGACACGAAACGATCGGTTTGTGCCAGAAACCGAACAGTATTT